ATATTATTTCGTGGTAGATAATGATTGATATGCCCTTTTTGGCATATAAATTTTGTATGAATTTTTTTGTTTGTATGAAATCTCTGTTAACACATAAAAATTATACCAAAAAATAAACTTTACAGCGCGATTTTTGTAAATAAACTTGTCTTGGGTGTTTTATTTTAAAATGAAATTTTTAAAGTGATCGACATCCTTCTATATGAATTATCTGATTGTATATCATTACTTGGCATGGAAAACTCTATTCATACATAAAAATTATACAAAAATACTCTAGAAGTGCTATTTTTGTAAATAAACTCATCTTCATGGGTGTTTTATTTTAAAATGAAAGGTCTAGAGTGAGCTTTGTCATTCTATATGAATTTTCTGGTTGTATATCATTACTCTTTTGGTATTTGACCTTTCAGGGATCAGTTTGGCCATTAAGCTTTTTGGTGAGGTATTGTGGAATGCTTCGGAACCGAATGCTTGCTGATCCGAATTTTCTTTTTAAAGTTGGAACAGAGGTTTGTTGGTTGCTATCTTTGTTGCATTAGTATGTCACTTAACGGTTGTACTTGCACGCAATGTAATATTGTGTGTCAATTGACCAATATTGTTGAATGTTCGTATGGTGCGTGGAGCGTAAGCCAATAATTACAACCTTGTCAATTTATTTCCTTTTCATTTTTTGAAGTAACAACCATATTAACTTGAGATGACCAACAGGTGATCAAATATTGATATTGAAAGTTATGTTTAAATGTTGTAAATGTTTATACATTGAGTCCTTAGAATGTATTGTGGTGGTGTTCATCTAATAGTATATGTTATGAATTTGATGAGACACAGGTAGCCATTGATTCTGGTTGTACAACCTTTGCTGAATTTCAAAAAAGAGGAAAGGATTTTTGGGCAGAATTTGAATTGTACACTGCAGATCTTTTGGTTGGCATGGTTGTTGACATTGCTTTGGTTTCCATGTTAGCACCGTACACTCGAATTGGGAAGCCATCTACATCTAGTGGTTTCTTTGGACGATTCAATCGTGCTTGTGGAGCTCTTCCAAGCAGGTTATTGATGCATAATATAACTTTGAAACTCTTTTTTCTCATTGGATGTACTTGCACATTTGTCATTATCATTGCACTCTCCATTTATAATCAAATTTTGCTCCCTTTTTGGCACTTCTAATACTTAATTTGGGAACTTGGCTTCAGCTGGTTTAATGATTTAAGGCCTAGAATTTGGGAATTCAATGACCTAGGTCAACGATTTATGTCGTGCCTACTTAGCCTAAAGAGGCAGAGTGGAGTTTGAGAGAATGTAAAAATATCATTAGATGGGAGATGATTTAAAACTGATGCTTGGTAACTTATGGATGAGGGGCTACCCAATTATATTTGCATTACCTCCAAATCTATTCAAGTACCTCTGTCTTTATTTTCTAAAGGTTTTATGTGTTATATAGTGCCGTTTGTCATTTCATGCCTGCATCTTGCAAAAAAGTGAAAGTGGAGGAAAGGCATTACATTTCTCAGAGTCTACAGATGTAAGAAAAATGGACCATATTTATGTTGTACAATCCGAAACTAAAGGTTTCAAGTGTCGGGACATAATTGGACCACAAGACTTAGTTTGGTTTAAGGATTTGCTTGATTTAAATTTTTATACTTACAGCTTGGAATTAAAGGGCCTTGCTTCTAAATGAAGCTTTGATTGCCATATGCTTCTAATTAAAGGCCTTTCTTGCATATGCAGTGTTTTTGAAGCTGAAAGGCCAGGATGTAAATTCTCAATGAAACAGCGGATTGCTACCTATTTTTACAAGGTACCATAAGTTACTGGGCTTATTGAGTTAGTGGTATGCTACCTTGTGGCCTTTTGGACTACAGATCTCAAAAAGAAAACTTTCTTTCCTGCCACTCTATCTTGAAAATCCCACTTACTTGCTTCAGACCTTTTTCTGGTTAAATATTCTTGCTTCGTCATTTAATATCGCAATAGGGGAGAAGAAAAAAAAAATAGAAACAAATGTATGTTTGCTTCATCTCTTGTTTTCATTGTTGATTTATCTAATTCAAGTGTTTTCTAGATTGGGTTTTAGTTATGGTTACAGTGTGCCTGAAGTTGGGTTTAGTAGTTTTTTCTGCCATCTAGTTTTTACCATTAACTGTGATTGGTTTATTCATTTGGGATTCAGGGCATATTGTATGGCTCAGTTGGATTCGGGTGTGGTCTTATTGGCCAAGGCATTGCAAATTTGATCATGACTGCTAAACGGTACAGTTCTATCTAGATGCATCTTGTATTAGATGTCTTTCTAGAATATATTCAGTGTAGTGACTAAAAACGATGTATATGGGACATGATCTCTATTCTATATTTTATTTGTTAAGACTAGTGTATAACCAACAGGAAAAGATCATTTGCCTAGAAGCATGGAAGAAATGGAAAACAGCATCTCAAGCTTTGAATTTCCTTTGTATGAAATTCCATCCTACAAATCAACATGTCAACTTGTTTTCAATTTATTTTTAGTGACAAAATTTGAATATTAGTGATGAATTATTATCTCTTGAGACCAAAAGTTTTGTTTAAAAATAAATAAATCCTTTTGGGACAATTATTTTGTCCCCAAACTGCTTTTATTAGAGAATTTTTTGTTAAAATTTTGTGGGTAAAATCCTTATTTTTTACTTTTTAAGATGACATTTTAGCGATTATCCTTGCAACGACAAGAATTGGTACTAAAATGTTTTTTGCAACAAATTTTTTACTTCAGGGATAAAAATGTTTGATCCCTAAAACTCTTACATGTTGCAAGGAGAAGAATTTCATGAAGTTTTTCAAATTATACGTGCACTTACACAACAAATTATGAAGTCACGATATTGTGAGGAAATATCATTTTGTTCCCTAAACTATCACTTAAAAATTAATTCAACCCCTATTCTTTAATAATATCAATTTTACATCTAAACTATTTAATTGGATCAACCTTACACTTGTTATTAGTTGCTGTTTATAATCAAGCTGAATTCATGGAGTATTGTTCAAAGGCAATGCAGGTTAATGCAGATTCTGGCAAAATGACTGATCTGTGCTGCTTTCTTTTCTGGTCTGTGTTGGCTGGTGTGGGGGTTGGTCTTGTTTCTAACCTGTGTCAGTGTGGATTGGAGCCCCAAGCTCAGATGTTTGCCTTAGGTGTTAGGGGTTGCTTTGGACTGAATTTCCCCTTAGCTGGAGTTTTGTTCCTCCATTTTTTGATTGTAGAAATGAAACAAGAAAAATCAGTGCTGGTCTGTCGAAGTACATCACTGCCTGTTGTTCTACTTTGGTTAGGGACTGCTTCTACTGTAAGTTTGATCTGCTGGGGTGGATTGGATGAATTGGTTATAGTCTGCTGGGGCGAATGTGGTTCTGTTCCTTACGATTAAGATGCTGAATGGTTCTGAATGGCTGTGTTATTCTGCAGTGTTATAGATGCTGTCCAGGTATATCAATTCAGTGGATTGGTGATGGCTTGGGTGAATTGGTGATGTCAGTGGTTTGTTCCTTAAGCCTCATTTGCTAGTAGTGTGAATTGGTGATGGCTTGGGTTGCTGTCCAGGTATATCAATTCAGTGGATTGGTGATGGCTTGGGTGAATTGGTGATGTCAGTGGCTTGGGTGAAGTTTAGTTTTTCTGTTATGCTCCTCTTCTGCTTCTTTTTGTTTTGGTTTGTTGTTGGTTTCTCACCAACTGGCGCTTGGAGCTTTAGTTAGCTCCAAGCTCCTCTTTATTGATGTCCTGTATACTTTTTGCATACCTTCATCAATAAAGATTTTCTTTGCCGATCAAAAAAAAAAAAAATTGACGGTGGGGTAAAATTGATGTAAAATTAAATAGTTTAGATATAAAATTGATATTATTAAAAGAACATAGGTTGAATTAATTTTTTAGTGATAATTTAGAAAGTAAAATGATATTTACCTATTGTGTATATTAAGTCATAATACCATTTATCATTTTTAGGAACTTAAAATAAAATATGACCATAGTTAGAGTCAAATGCTATTTTGTCCATCTATGCCATATCTAAATGAAGTAAATGCCAAAATCATTATATTACATGGTCAAATGGTTGACATGGTATCCACCAAGAGTGATGCGCAACTCACGTTAGGACAAAAATAGACCAAGGCAAGCTTTATAAATGGTTCCATAGACACTTTTCAACCCTCATCCTCCTCATTTAACAAATTCAGTTTGTTCTAAGCATCATCCTTATTTAACAAATTCACCCTATTCTAAAACATGGCAAAATCTACCCTTCAATTGCTTCTCTTGATCCTCTATGTCTTGTACATTTTCGATACAGGTGAGTCTGCAGCCTTGGAAAATATTGTTAAGGCCCGCACTGCGTTGTCGACGAGCTTAGCAACAACTGGATCTGTAAAAGCAAATATGTTGATGCTAAAAAACCTTAAGGGACTCAAGGCCACAGATTACAAAGTGCTGAAGGATTGCTTGGGTCATGTTGAAGAAAGTGTGGACAAACTTAGCCAATCAGTACGAGAACTTAAGTTCTTAGGTCAAGTCCAAGGTGACAAGTTTTTCCCTCACCAGACCCATGTACAAACTTGGACTAGTACTGCCTTAACTGAATTAAACGATTGTGAGGAAGGATTGTCAGGAAAAGATCTAGATGGAAAACTTAAGTACTCGATACGGGGTCAAATCACTAATGCTAAGAAACAGATTAGTAATGCACTAGCAACAATTAACCAATTGGCACAATGAGCCATACCAACAATGTTTGAAGTGAAAGAATTTTCGATGACAGAGTTTGAAGGGGGATCGACTTTATGTTGTCTATTTTTACTATCAAGGCTATATTTTGGGACATTGTATGGTTAAAAATATGTGATATGACATCTGGTTAAAAAAATCGTAAGTGTTAGTTCCTTGTGATGCCTTAGTTATTTTTCCATTTTATTACGTATTAGTCCTAGTGTTACTTCATTACATGAAATTCAAAGATTTTTTCTTTCTTTTTGTTGCTCCTTTTCTTTCTTTGTCATTATGAGCTAAGAAACGTAATATTTTTTATTATTATTATTTTACTTCAAATGGATAAGAAATGGCGCAATTGAAGTTTAACCCAAATTATAGAATTTTGAATTTTATAACATGACAAAATGTAGATTGGCATTGTCGAAATACAAAATTATTGGAGAAGATCTAAATTTGTCACATCAATAAATCTAAGGATTGTAAATATAAAATTATGGTTGAGCACACCATATGTGATTCTAGTTAGTATGTGTTGCCATAATGCCATGCTTAGCCAATCGTCAAAGATTTACCTAGTTTGTTTTAATATATACATTATATTACATGTAATATGATTTTGTTAACATGTAAGCTTAAATATATTGTGCATTCAGCGGGAAAGCGCATGTATAAAAATGTACAATCTTCTAATATCATCGGTACATGTTAACAGGACTTTATATAATATATACGTATATGGACAGCTCGAGTTACAGTATTTTATACATTTTAATATAATATCATTGACATATATATTACTCTCAAATTTGTGCTTTGGTTGGTGCATTTTTCATAGCTACTCAATATTAGTTATTTGTCTAACACAATACATGTCCTCAGGCACGAATCTAAAATTTTGTCTTGCGAGGGGTCAACATTTTTTTTTTCCTCCATTTTTTATTTTCCTCCCACTTATTTTTATTTACACCGTGCCATCAAGCACAGGCACGGGCACGGGTACGGGCACGGGCACGGGCACAGGCATACACTGGTATATATATATATATATATATCAGATTGCAAATCACTCTCTCTCTTCTCTCTATCTTGCTCTTATCATTATTGCTCTCCCTATCTCTCTTTCTTCTTCTCATGATGCTTTGTTCTTCGAACAGTAAAATTTTACTTTGGTTCATGACACAACACTCTCCTGTAAAACTATCATCGCACTTTGTTTTAGAGTAAAATTTTACTCTACAATAAATAAATAAATAAAAAGAGCAAAATTTTATCAGAATAAAATTTACTATAATTCAAAATAAAATTTTACTGTCATTAAGCAAATCAGCATGTTGTTAACTAGAGTAAAATTTTACTATTATAAAAAATAGAGTAGATACTAAATGAACGAACCAGAGTCAAATTTTAATTTTAGATATTTAAACAAACAAACAAAAAAAATTTGATTTCTCATTGCAATATCTCGATTTCTCGTTTTTCTGTCAAATTATTTTATTTTATTTTATTTTATTTTTTATTTTTTTATATCTCAGGTCTGAAGTTTTTAATCTCAAATATGAGTTTGTAGGTATCAAATCTGAGATGGTGGTAGTTTGACGGTAAAAACGGTAATTGTCGACCATGGTGAGGATAAGCGACGCCGACAAACGATAAACAACAATCGAGTTGGTGAAAACAGAGAGAGAGAGAGAGAGAGAGAGAGCTGTAAAAAAAAAAAAAAAAAAAAAAAAAAACGTAACATGCGAAACAATAATCTTTCATTTATCTTCTTTTACCATACAAAAGATGACATATGCATACATTCATAAATCCTAAATCTTGAATCTATAGCATATGTCACATATGATCGAACTGAAATAAAAGGTTATCTAGATAAGTTAATGCCCTAATGGCTACATCTTTCTAAGATAATGCTTGGGTACAATGAAAGTGAGTTCAATTCAATACAGTTAAAACCCAAGGCTTATACAAAATAATTACATCAAAAGAAACAAAAAATGCTATTGGCTCCAAGTCCTCCCAAGCTATATTCTCGGTGGAGGCATATCATCAGTACTTGAAAGTTGTTTTCCATGTAAGGTGAGCTAAAACTCAGTAAAGATCCTTTAACACAATATATGAAATTTAGCAAAGTTATAAGATGAATACACATATAAGTCATTTGTCAAACATCACACTTTTCTATCTCAAAATAATGCAATGCCTTTATTAATATATTTCAATTGATCATGAAAATATATTTTTATATCAGAAAACAAGGCAGTGGATACAAAACACTGGGAATCGCTGGATACGTGTCTGTCAGTAGGCTATACAAGACTACCAAAGCCATTTTACGAGTACTAACCGGAAGGATCGGCATCTAATCGCACAGGTTTTTAGACTTTCACCAAGAACACAAAGGCCAATAATATAAACCACAACCACATCCCCTAACCAAATTCACCAAGGTATACATCAATTTTTCTCAAAAACAATACATTTTCAATGTTCAAATATGAAGCAATGCTCATGAGAAATTAGTTTTAATCTAACCTAATCCTCATGCAATTTCTAAAACAATCAAAGTTATCCTTCACTGATAGCCCAAAACAGATATTTCTACTCAAAAAAATATTTTTCCAACAATAGATAAAGTTTCAAATAAAATTTTGGTGCCATGTTAGTAACTTTTATTTAATTATAGACAACAGTTGATAGCGGAATAAAATATTATACAATTTCAATATAAAATTGATATTATTAAAAGAATATAGGTTAAATTAATTTTTTAAAGATTATTTAGAGATAAAATGAATTTTTTTTCTTGATTTGATATGAATTATTTCAACCGTGTTATCAAATTTTCATCAAAATCTAAGCTCGCCTCAATCTAATCATTTGTATTCCAGCCCTTCCACAGGATTAAGTTGTTCCTCATATGGGATACATTGTCCAAATCAGACTTAGTAGTCCAAAGATCCTTTTTTATTTTTATTTTTAAACTAAAACACGGATAAAAGTTTTTGTTGGACAAAGAAATCAATCCCATGATTATTTACTACCAAACAAACATGGCCTTACATGATTCTACGACCATCTTCAATTTTTTTTTTCCAATACATCATATACTATTGAAAGTCTATATTTCCACACACCTTTGAATGGGGTGGAATGGAATGTTAGACAACCAAATGCTAGTAACCACCCGGCGATACGATCAATTATACAATCATAGATCTGACGGATCAAATTGAACCTGAAAATCTTTGAGTGTAATGCACTCATACCCAAATGGGTACACCTCATTCATTCATAGCGGTGCCTCAGCCTCTTGGCTTATAAATATGCAATGGTCCAACCCGAAAAAACACTTCTCCGAACTCAGAATTATCGTTGCAATTGTAACTCTCTCCGAAATTAGCATTATGATTTTGCCAATTTCTAATATCCACTTATTGCAAACTTGAAAATTAGGGTCTCGGTTCTCTTATTCATATCAAGGGTATCTTGGAATCAAATTTGCAACAACATTATGCACATTATCTGGAGAAGAAAAAAATATTCATTCAGTTTGGTTTCAGTTTTCAGAATTCAATTTTCAGAAAATTCAATTTTTTTGTTTTCTGTATTTTTTTGTTTTCATTGAATTTTTTTGATATCTTAAGTAATTTTTTTTTTAATGTTTAGACGCCTTTAACATAAATACACTTAAAAAGTATAATATTTGTGAAAAAAATCTTTAAAAAATTCATTAAATACCAAAAAATATATGAAAATTCAATACATTTTTCGTATTTTTATATATTTAATATTTTTTAAAATATTTTTTCACAAATATTTTACTATTTAGATACATCTAAATAAGGTGCATCTAAAAAAATAAAAAATTGCTTAAAATTTTAAAAATATTCACTAAAAACAAAAAAATACGAAAAATAAAAAACAAAAAACTCAATTTTCAGAAAACTGAAACCAAACAAACTGATTGTCTTTAGAAACTGACAACGCAACGCAACTTGAAACAAGTAGTTTTGTCATGTCCTTAGAGGTTCTCCAAGACTGCAAACTTGAAGATTTGAATTTTTCTAACAAAT